GATTCATTTCATTAGAGTTAAGAGAGGAACTTTTTTTCAAATACATTTCCTTGCTAAAGTAGAATCTGATTTCGGAGCGTGAGTGGGTGAATCTCATCCGTACTCATCCTTGATCGTTGGGGTCATCAGAGAAATCTAAGACGTTCAATGCACATCAGAATAACAGTGTTAGAAATATTTTTATGAATTTCTCTCTCGAAAGGTGAAGTCGAGCAGCGATTTATAGAAAAAAATGTGTGTATATGGAACGAAATTAGTGTATATAATTTCTAAAGTTGATTTCTAAAACGAAATGGACACACTTCCAATTTCGAACAATTATCGAAATTTTTACTGTCGAAAAGTGAACAATAAAGATGAGTTATTAAATATACTCGATCCGTTGGAATTCAATTATTCAAATAGATTATTGGAAACGTACCTGCAGAACCACTGCCGATAATTATGAAGTCATAAGATGGCAGTAATGATTTGGAAGGGATATTCGTCACAGCGTAACTATCGAACGAGTATTTGATATATAGCACCATAGACAATAACGCCGACAGGAACGATATAATTATCGGATATGCTTTCAGTCCTTCGAAAATAATTCTTTGCACGTCCATTTTGAATCTGCTGAATTCTCTCTATCGATCTGCAATATGAAATTTTCTTGTATTACGAATAATCTCAACTGTATAATAATTGTGAGTGCATGTCACAAGAAAAACAGCATAACGGGTTCACTAGTACTCGAATAGTAATTAACAAAATTAACAAATTCTTGATGAACTTGTAAAACATTCCGTTGCCGATTTTGATGATTTTTAACTATGTTAAATCAATTCCTCGTTCGATCAATTCTGTCTCTCGTGAAAACGAGGAGAATAATAAGATCCTCTTACAATTAGTCTACGAGACATTTACAACGGTAGTCTGAGTTTAACTGTCTGTTTATAACAGGAAGAGAGAGTTTGAAACTAATACTTAATAATTTGAACTCTCGAAACTCAAATCCGATTCGTCGTAAAGTTTCGAAACTCACGAAACGTGAGGTATTGGTTTCATTTTGTAAGAGAAATCTCTCCTCCTCACAATCAACATTGACATAAATTTTTATTCATCAAGGTTAAACGAAACACAAGTATAGTGGTAAAATTTTTTTCTTGAGAACCTGGATCAATTACCCAGGAAACTTTTTTTCCGATTTTTGTTCATCGCAATTCGAGAAATATTTCTAGTTATCAATCAGCTCTCGTAGAACTATCATTATTGCAATAGCTATTGTTGCTATATATATATATATATATAGCATCTGTTTTGTTGCAAACTAGAAAGAGTTATTACAGAAAAATCGACCGATAAATGATCTTTAAATCAGTCAGAGTAATAATTAGAGATAATGTTTAAAAAATGAACTGATGTGTATCGAATCCGATGAATTAAAATTTGGCTAATTATTTTTCTTCTTTCGTTTCAAGAAAATCGTGCACAGAGAAACTTGTACCGAGAATTCGAATAAAATTGATATTTCACTTGTCACGATCCGATA